AGACGGGAGGGCCCTCCGCCTTTCTGGCAAGTCAAACTGCCTACTTTTCCAGTGGCCATCAAGGGGCTTAACCATTGCTCTGCCAGTACTCCCCGAGAGAATGAAATCCTAACTGCATCCTCCTCCAGTGAGTCTGTACGGCCTCCCCTTTCTCCTGTGGCGTGAGGGACAAGGGACACCAGTCTGCGGTGCAGGGCGCCCCAGCCATTCCTGCCTCCTCACGTGGAGAGGGAAGCTTGGGCAACAGAGGGCACTCGCCTGCCCGAGTGGATTCTGGGGGGACTCTGGGGGGAGGCGTGGAGAATGCCAGGGGCCTCACCCGTTGCGGTCGTACTTCTTGAACACAGGAAAGGCCTCTAAGGGATCTCTGAGCTGTGGGCGGAGAGAAGAGAAAAAGGTGGTCTTTCCCACGCTTCGCTGGGGACGCCAGAGCAGCCCTGGGGCTTGGGCAGCAGTAACACCATTCTGCCACAGAGTGGCGCCAAAAGAAGTCAAATGAAAACCCGAGCCGGGCCAAGGCTTTTGCAGGGAGAGGGGGAGTCACCCTGTTGGCGGCGTCCACTTTGGCACAGACAGCGTCCATCGCTGCTCGCTCCTCCAGCCGCTTCTGCTTCTTCTCCTTCGCTTTGCTCGACTTTCTCTGCAACGGAAGGGCAGGGAAGGGCTGTGGCCACCTGGCTCCCAGGAGGGGGGGAGGGGGTCCCCCACACCCACAGGTGGTGGGAAATGTCCAACCCAAGTCACAGGACCCAGTGGAAAGCCTGGTGCCCGATCCCTGCTTCCCTTAGGCGACAACTAACTTTAGACACTTTCAAGCAGGAGACAACACCGGAGGCACACCGAATCAATGTCCTGGAAGCTTTTCTTTTTACATTGGAAACTAGGTGAGGATTTATATTTCATACCGACTCTATCTTTGACAGTTTAAGCTACTCATCTCCCCACTGCCTACCCTCTCCCTGCTCCCGGATGCCTGTCCTCCCTCTTGGGGACTGTCACCCTTCACGTCACCAAAGGTACAGCGCCTCCCTTCCCTCCTCACTGAACTCAATTCTTTCCAGTGTCTTCTGGCTTTAGGAGCGAGAGACAGGAGACTGGGGCCAGCCCCTTCTCTAAGTTCCACTCAGTCGAGGTCAGACTGCAGCAGTGGGGACAGGGGGCCTGAGGGGTCCATTGGGACCACAGGAGACTGACACATGGCCAACAAGACCAAGCTGCGGGCTACACAGTCAGCAGTGAGCGAAAGGGGGGCTTTCCTCAGAGGGGCCAGCAACCATGCCTCCATCACCTCCTGCCGAGGCTGGCTCAGGGCCTAAAGGGCGGAGCTGGGACTGCTGGGAAATGACCCCAGGTTCTGGTGCCCCCCCCAGACCCAGAACCAAACTCAGTGCCACCGAGTCCATGCTGACTCGTGCCAACCCTACAGGGCAGGGTAGAACTACCCTGTGGGTTTCCGAGTCTGTGGAACTACAGGATAGAAAGCTTCGTTGTTCTTCTGCAGAGCGGCTGGTGGGTTTGAAATGCCGTCCTCTCAGTTAACAGCTTGAGGAACCACTGCCCCTCTGAGCTGCTTCTGGTGCGGACAGACCTCGCCTAAAGAGAACACTCTGGTGGACGGGAAGGTCAGCGGCAGGGCAGTTCCTTGGGACCGAGTGGGCTCTTTCCAAGGAGTGTCCCTGCCAGCCCTGCTTCACTTCACACAAGTAGAAAAGAGAGTCGACACAGCAACCTCCCGGCCCTCGCCTCATGGTGCCAGGCTGCACTACACTTCTAGAAGCCAGGCTGGGTGCCACTGCCAGCCTACCTCACGGGAGGAGCCAGCGGGAGAAAATGGCCCTCCTCAGTGTCCAAACACTGGCACCTGGGCCACCACTCTGAGGCCCATGCTGCCCCATAGGTTCCGCAGCCTCCACCTTGCCCTCTGGGAAAGCGTCTTATTGAGAAAACACCACCGGGAGGAGATACCGTCCATCGTACTGCCACTGGAATGGCTCATCTGGTGACTCAGTTGGACGAGACTACACGGCAGTGGGTTGGGGGAGCGGTGGGCAGCTAAGACTTGAAAACAGGACCCAAAAGCGGGAGATTGCCACATGCCGGTGAGGAGGTGGACAGCGGTCCTGGGAACACACCACGGCTCCAATGGGAAGCAGGCTGGTGCAGCCCTCCACCCACTCCTCCATATGAAGACAGAGGGGTCCGGGGTCCACCCCGTGAAGGGGAAAAGCCCCCACTGGTGGATAAGCACTCTGTGGGCCTCCCGGACAATGGAATGCCCACACACCTGCCCACCAGAGACAGGAAGTCTGGGTGCCTGCTGCCAGAGTGCAGATGGATGGATGGATGGATGGATGGATGGATGGATGGATGGATAGGTGGGTAGGTGGGTGGGTGGGTGGGTGGATGGATGGATGGATGG